CTTAAATCAATGATATTAAAATATTTACTAATGCTAATATCATTATTTACTAGATGGTATGGATAGAATTATTTTATTATTTATAACTTTTATCAATAATAATTCTTATTTGTATTAAATTATTAGCTTGTAAGTATAAAATTGTTTGTTTATGATATTTGTCTAAATAATATCTAATAAATATCAATAAACAGGAAGTAAATATGAATTTTATTAGAAGCACTTTTGAATCCAATATTTTAAACTATTTTAATTAATAATGATTATAGAAAGTAAGCATAATGTTATTAAAAATTCAAACTCTTAAATTGGTATTCTCTAACAAATATTTTAATATTATACTAGTTTGTAAATATAATTTATAGTTAGTTTGTAAACGTTACAATTTTTCTAATCACTTTTCGTATTAATTTAATAGAGAGTAAGTATTAGATAAATATTTAATTCTTAAATAGCTTTTCTGGTTACTAATTTCATATAATTATTAGGTGGTGATTAAAGGGTTTAATAGATTTAAATCTTTATATCTATATAATTTAAAAAAAAATAATAAATTTTATTTAACAAATAGGGAGTAAGTAACAAATTTACTCTTAAATGTGTACTTTCTTATGTATTAAACAATTCTACTGAATACCAACTTTAAATTAATAGTCAGTGAGTATAAAACTTAGTATTAGACAAAGTAATCAAGTTTAATTAAATTAACAATTAATTCTTCAATTTACATTTTTATCAATAATAACAGAGAGTAAGTAAAGATTTACCGTGTTATTAATTTACCTATTGTAAATAACTAACTTCTTAATGGCAGAGAGTAAGTATAATGTTTAGTAAATTAAAGTAATAATAAATAGTTATAATTAATTCTTAATAGAAATTTTCTAATCAATTATATTTTCAAATTACTCTTTGTAAGTGTCCAATTTTATTTATAATATATTCTAAAAAAAGAATTGATTTAATATAATATTTTAAATCAATAGAGAGTAAGTATAAAATTTGTTCAAATAATCTTATGTCAATAAATAATTCTTATTTATTCTTAATTGAATCATTAGTCGGTGAATATAAATTCTAATTTAGAGCTTATAGTCCCTTCTTGAGCTTTTTTTAATTAACAATGTTCATAATGATCTATTAGATTGTAAGTGTAAAGTTTATATCATATTTATAATTCATTAAAATTCGCTAATTTTTCTTAAATTGTGTTCAAATAAATTAAAGGGAGTGAGTATAAATTTCGCATCATTGTAATTCATTTTTAGATAGCATACTCTAATCGATCAATCAATATTAAATTATTAGTCGGTAATATAAAGTCAGATTTATTTAGACAAAAGTTTTTATAAAATGATTCTCTAACAAAAAATTTCTTCAATATATTAGATGGCAAGTATAAAGTTTGTTGTAAATAATTTCTCAAATAACGATTTTAAATTAATCATATATTTAAACATCAGGGAGTGAGTACGAAATTATAAATATATATTTAATATCTATTATCTAATGGAACTACGCATATTAATTGACAGGGAGTGAGTATACATTTATAATTAAATCAATGATAATTATTACCATTGCTATAAATAACACTATTATAATAATTAAACTATTAGATTGTAAGTTACGCATTAAAAATAATAAATTCTACATATTTTTGAATAACTCTTTTTCTATAATAATACATAGCTTGTGAGTATTAAGCTTATTGTGTTCGTAAATCAAAAAAAGTACCTTTATTAAGATTTTCACGTCTGTAATATACAATAGGGAGTGAGTATATATTAGGTTTATACTAAGTAAATAAGTTATTCTCTCACCAATATTGTGTTAAATTACTAGTCGGTATGTTTATATATATATTGCATTATTTGACTATGGCATTTGATAATTGCCTAATAAATAATATTTATTAGTTAGTGAGTACCGTATAATGATAAAGTTTACTAGTGTTAGATATTTTTAATTACAGTTAATCATTTTCCTAAAATTTTAGATGGTAAGCATAAGGGTCATGGTTTTAATAATGGTCAAATTTAGTGCTTTCTAACCTATTTGAATCGACAGGGAGTATGTATTAAGTTTATATCAATCAATATTAAATTCGTTTCAATGCATTCATATTCACACTAAATTAATAGACCGTAAGTATAATAAAGTTTATTAAATGCTTTAAATAGCATATATACGACTAGTTACATCCAAATTAACAAATAGAGAGTAAGTATAAAATTATTTGTTTATGAACATGTATACAGTCCATTTCAAATGACATATTCGCTTTAAACTTAGAGCATGTAAAAAATGTGGACAACAGTGCAATAGCAGTGGGTGGTGTAATCCTTGTTGTGCTAAACGATTTCACCATGATTTTACAAACTGGACAAGTGGTAATGAAGTTGTGGATAAATTTATTCAAGATGTTCAACTTAAAGCATGTAATTCTGATGAAGCTCTTGAGTGGGTTCTGTTTGAAAAGTTTGAAGATGTCATGTATCTGTCAAGAGGCGGATTTGGTACTGTTTATAGAGCAAGATGGAAGGATGGTTACATCCTCCGCTGGAATCATGAGAAACAAAAATGGGATAGATCTTTTGATAAAGATATTTGCCTAAAAAGCTTGAATGATTCAGTAAATATTTCTTCCGAGTTTTTAGAGGAGGTATATTTTATTGAGTACGTTAAATTTTGTTATCCTCAATTAATATTAACATATTCATTTTAACATATTCATTCACAGGTTCGAAGTCAATTAAAACTTAGGAAGAAGAGTGCTTCAATCGCAATTTATGGTATTACCAAAGATCCAGTAACCAACAATTATATAATGATTATGGATTACGCTAAAGAAGGAAGCCTCAGAAAATTACTTGATAATAAATTTGATAAATTAGATTGGGATGATAAGGTGGCACACATATACTTAATCATCAATAATCTGAATGAAATACATAAAGAGGGACTGGTGTATAAGGATTTTCACCCCGGTAATATAGTCTGTTATAATAAATTCAACCCATACTTTACAGATTTTGGAATGTGCAGGCCAGTATCACAATTAGTTGTTTCGACCAAAATTTATGATGTCCTTCCATATGTAGCTCCAGAAATACTGACAGGTCAAGAATATACCAAATCATTGGATATATACTCTCTTGGCATTATAATGTTAGAAATTTTAACGGGATATCCACCATATCACAATATCTCGCATAATGTTTATCTTGCAGTACAAATTTCAGCGGGCCTTCGCCCCAAAATTCATTGCAACATTCCCAGACTACTTGTAGATATTATAGAACGATGTTGAAACACAGATCCCGGCAACAGACCAACTTATCAGGAACTTTTGGATATCTTTAATCAATGGAAGACTGAAAAATAGGGCCATTTTATTAATAAATCATCTGAATTATATAAACAAGTTCAAGAAATTAACAAGGAATCCTCCAGATATGATCCTAATAAAGTTGTATTCGATTCACAAGCATTTTATACAAGCCGGCTTTTGAATTTTTCGACACAAACAGATATGGGTTCTAATACTTATGGTAAGCGTGATTTCCAATTAATGGTTCTATTTAAAAGTGTCATTGATAAGCAGATTTATTCATTAGATTCAAGGCAACTTTGTATTGAACTACCGGATTTGGATGTTTTGAATTGTAAGAGAATAGTTATTTTATATGCAATGTTTTTACTTTTTTTAAGACCATAATTAATCGTAAATTTCGTTAAAATAGTATATGAAAAAAATGATGAAACTTTCTAAAAATTTATGAAAATGTCGCTGGCTCTAACAGAAAATACAAACATGTTGTGTAATCATATTAATTAAACTTGTTTCTTTTATAGATACTGTAGTTATAGTGAAACGAGCCCTTTATTTTAAAGCGATTTATTTTTTTTAATGCATTTATCGCTAATCACAAATTTGGTCGACCTTTATATTTCTTTGAAATATTTTCTTCAATAAGTTTAAAAGCTTCTAAGCATGAACCCCAACTTGAAGAATATCCTATTCAAAAAAAAACAAATTTATATCAATAAATATTATATTTAACTATTTTGTATTTTTAAATGCATTACCATAAGAGTGATGCCCATAGTTATGGCAAATTATGACATCTTTATTTGTAGAATTCTTTATGATCTCAACTTCTATTCGAATACCATTTGTTCTATAAGATCTTCGTCCGACATTATGTCTTATAATTTGTAAACTTTTATCTAATGTGAGTTCTGGGCACAATGTAACACATCGTTGAATGATATTTTTAGCAGTCTCCAGATCTGGGTTTTCAGAACTATTTTATATAATGAGATGTTAACATATAATAGTACAAAGTACATAAAATATTTATAGCAAATAAAATAATAATAAATTACTAATCATTCATTTCCATAGTTCCTCCAAGAATAACCTTCCCACTTTCTCTGAGAACGACAAATGTAAAAGAATCATAATCTTATCAGATTTAATAAAGATAATGTCTTTTTAATAGCTTAAATAATTTCAATAAATTTCACTCACTAGTCTGAATAAGCACTGTTTTAATATGTGGTGCCCAAACTGAAATAGTTTGGCCACATGAGGGAGAAACTGTGTTATCCATAACACCACCAAAAGTTCTAGCACTAACACCTGTGCAATTCATCACCACATCAACTTCATCATTAAAAAAAATTGATTTATTAATATGAGAAAGAAGGACTTTTTTTCTTTTGCCACCACTAGTGATATATTGGTCAAGCAACCATTGTAGATATTTTTGAACATTCAAACTAACTATTATTCATGAACATTCAAAAATAAGTTATTTGATAAATGCAAACGGTTAAATATGGATTAATAGAACCTGTTATGTAAGACACTCCATATTCTACACCAGATGGCAGTTCTTCGAGAGGTATCACCCTGAACTAAATATATAAAGCATTTCAGTGATATAAGCGGATATTCTACAAAGAATTTGCCATCTTAATTATAACAAAAGTTATACCTCTGGTACAAAATCTTTAAACCAAATATCACTTGAATCAGGTTTTTTATCCATATAATCACGAATCTGCACACGCATTAATCCAGTTTCTGGGTTCTCAGATAAAGTCCAAAATTCATTCCACGAAATTTTTCATATTCTATTCGATTATAAAATTGTTACTTTGATGAATATAACATAATAATGTTACAGCTATTAAATTTACCATGAACCCTTTTGTCTTCAATATAAAGGCTAGCTCTTCAGACTGCCACTGCCCAAGGGCTTGAATAATTAATATCCAAATCGCCAGGCCAATGTTCAGCTAAAATTTCCACTTGATACCCATTT